TTTTTTTCTGTGTGCACAACACACTCCATTACTATCCTTACATCACTTCGACAACGCGGACATAATGAGTGCTCACGTTATTTGCAGCCGACCGATCATGGCCCGGCGTGCAAACACTCGCCGAATATTCCACTGCCCGGCCCCCTGTGCGTCGTGGACCCGGCGGACCCTCCAGGACCACCTCCCGACACGCCCGACACGCGTGCAATTTCCTTGTGGGGAGTTCCCCAGGCGGGGCGTTCCCTGCTGCTGTCTGCCTCCCCTTCCCCAGACACGCAGGTAGTCTAATGAGACCGTATCAAGTGCGTTATCGGGGGTTTTCTATTGCATCGTCCGTTCATGACCACAGTCTGGTCACGGCCGCAAATTGGTAAAGGGACGTGCCCCCACGACGGATGCCCCGCACGCGTATTTGAGCAGCCAAATGACGTGCGAATAATTTAACACTCTTTTTTCGCACCTCTTTCTCGTGCCAGCTCAGCTGCCGTCGGGGCCGCCAAACTACGCGGGTGACATAATGATAATTTGATTGAGCCGGGCTATGAGCATTCGCTCTCGACCCGACCGGCGGTAGCTATGGTTGGCAAGTGTTTCTGTTTCTCATTGGCAAGTGGGACAAGGTTGGGCCTGGCCAGGCTCGCGCAGTGTACCGAGTACGTACCGAGTACGCGCGCTCAGTGCGTCGTCCAAGTTTAATGCTGCCGCTGAACCGTTTCGCTTGTAATCCCACCTAATCCCGGGCGCGAAGACCAGGAAGGGGAACGTGAAAACTCATCTCTAGCCAAACAAGCGCGCGCGGTACCCTCTGACTCTGAGCGGCGGCGGGCGGCGCGAAGAGAATAAAGGTGAACGAGTTGCGGGCGGGGATCAATATCTGACGGCGGCCCGGCCGGGCCGATCGGGTGGGACAGCATGGGCGGGGTGAGTTGCAACGAGCAAGGTCGCCTCGCCCCGCCCCGCCCCGCCCCACCTCGCCCCGCCCTACCCCGACGCCTTGTTCTAAATATCTCGCCGCGCTTTGCGTCTCTCCCCTCTCTCTCGCACCCACTGATCGACCGAGTGTGAGCGACGGAGATGGGCGACTCGCGGCTTATGGAGACGGGAGGAAAGTCTTCGGGGAAGAGGTGAAGTTAATCACCGGTTAATCATCGAGCCAATCGGTTAGTTACCTACACACACACGGCGCGTCGTCAAACAATTGTCGCCTGGTCAGGGGCGTGCGTATATAGTGTGTGTGTGTGTGTGCTTTGTGTCGAGTCTTATCAGGTCTGGAGCGTTTTCCTGTG